TAAAACTGAAAATATTTAATCGTAAAAATCAATAAGGTAATTTGTCGGAAAAATAAAAAATAAAACACAACTTGATTGATCAACGGTTCATTAAAAACTAACTAAATATTTTAAATTAATTATGTATTATTTAACATCATGTCTGGCAATTAATAATGTAACTGGTTAAACATTTAAATTTTTGTTTTGAAATTACAGGGAGATTGGATGCACTGTAAGGGTAATTTGTTCCCTTGATTTTTTTCATCTCCCTGTAAAAATGGAGCCAAACTCCCCAAACACATACTACTTTTGACAGTTAATATTTTAATATTCTGCAGTAGTAAGCTAATGCCTAATAGTAAAATAAATTATTTTCATCTCAATATATATCATAACATATAAATTACATTTTTATGAGCGTTTGAATTTCAAATGCGTAATATTGGATATTCACTCAATTTCTCATGCAACGATTATCGTATTCAGTTGTAATAAAAGTTGCCGATATATTGTTTCATAAGAAGTAAAAAAAATTAAAAATACATAGGCACGATGTTTTTTTAGTTGCAATTCAAATTCAAATTTTGGCAACATTTATTAAATTCAAAATTTACAAATTATTTTGTAGCTAGTACTTTTGCTGCTAAGAAATTGAATTTTAAAACAATGTTGGACGTATATAGTCAATTTTACAGAAAAAAAAATTAAAAAATATATTGGAGAAGTTTTTTTACAGATATTTTAAATCCAAATTTGGACGTAATTATGAAAACTGATTTGAATTCGTTAATTGACGTACGTAAAGTTAGCAACCCGACATCCTCCGATCAGAACCCAATGAATATCACTTTTTTGCAACCAATTTGCAACAATTTTCAACGCTCATAAATTAAATTTGCAACACTTTTTTTACGACGCTAAAGACAAACATAGCATTGGGGTGACAAATTCCGTGTCACCCCGACATGGTCCGATCGGTTCCAAATCGGTATCACTTTTTTGCAACCAATTTGCAACAATTTGTAAATTTGCAACTTCAGACATTCTCCGAAATATCCAATTTACCGATGGGGGTGCCAACTTCACGTAACATCCCTAAGTCCATGAAGTTTACACCCCAATAACCTATCTATTCAAATCCAAAATAGTACCAAGTTTCTGAAAAATTGTTATCATTTTATATTTTATATTACTTACTTGTTACGTCAACACTAAGCAATCATTTAGGATCATTCAGAGGCGTTCTCAGGATTTTTTATTGGGGGGGGGGATATGAAAATTTATTTAACGGTGAGCCGTGGTAGCAAAGCCCCCACCCCTTTTTTGAATTAAAAAACAACATACATTAAATTATAACAATACTATATTTTTAATTAAAATATTAATTCTACAAAATTATATCCAGTTTTCTTGATTTTTGAGCCATCACATCAAGAACTTCTTTGGCATCAATTGGAATTTCTCTATGAACGGCCAACAATGTTAAGCCGTTAAGACGATTCTATGAATGAAATATAATTATATAAAATATGATATACGAAGTTATAATATTAATAAAAATATGTACTCCTTACTTCAGTCATTGAGTTTCTTAAATAGGTTTTTAGTCGTTTCATACATGAAAATGATCTCTCGGGAGTGGATGTAGATACTGGAATGGTACATAATATTTTTAATAATTTATAGATATTTGGAAAAATTGACTGTGTACATAAACGTAAAGCATCTATGGCTGCCTTAGGGTTTTTATTATTTGCTTTCAGTTTTGATTGCCATATTCTTAATTCAGCAATGACTATCTGAGTGTCTGAGTCCAGGTAAAATCTGACAAGTTCTTCAAATGCTTCATATTCTATTTCATCGGAAAATAAGCACTGGAAACCTAAAAAACATAATTAATTTATAATATATTTTTATACAAAAATAACATTTAAAATTGGTTGAAACTGACCTTCAAAAATATTCTTATGAGTAAGAAATCTTTCTTTTAAATTACTTATAAAAGAATCTATACAAGGTATTGCTATGGTAATTCTATAGTAGTCTTCAGGATTCATTGACTCAACACATGCAAAAGGGTTTGGCCGATTTTGTTGACGTTTGTTTAATCTCTTTAC